CAGCCCAGTCAAAACAGTCCGAGCAGCAGCCGTATCCTGTTGCTTCGGAGCGAAACACACTGTCACATCTGACAAACAAACACACACACAAACACACACACACACGCACACGGTCCCTGAAAGACCAGCTGGTCCTCAAAACTGGCGCACACACCCTAAACACACACCAGTTACCCCCAAAAGCTGCTGCCAAGGTAGCAGAGCTGAAACAGAAGCAGGCTGGCCGAGTTGCATACAGTACACAATGATAAACACACACACACACACGCACGCACACACACACACACAAACAGGATGCCGACATAAATTTGTGCTGCAGACACAACATTCACTCAGACTTCAGAGAGATGGCAGAGCGGCCAAAAAACAAGAAAATGACAAGAATGGAAACAACAGTGTTTGTGAATACAGAGTGCTGATGGAAATTCTTGGTTTAAAAAAAAAAACAAAACCCTGCAGACTTTGGGATCACAGATAAACTTGTCAGACATAGTTAAATAAAACAAATTTGTGGACGGTTCGTCTTGGTTTATTAAGCACCAAGGCTTCCAGCTGGTTTTATATTTAAGAAAATGTCTTTATGTGGAAATAATGAAGAAGCTGGTGAGAACTTTTATTTCCACCATCGGCAAAGCTGGAAATTGAGAGTTGGAGGCCTGTTTCAGAGAAGAAGAGAGGGTCCAAACCAGCTGGATGCAGGGACAGCCTATCACCAACAGAACACAGTGACACCATGTTGTTTTGTGGTTAGCAAGCAAGCCAACATTTGAAGCACAACAGGACAAAATTCAAATGTATATAAAGTCCTTCAGGTTGTTGTTGAACAAATCCTTCTCCAATAAACTGGCTGCTGTTTTTGTTACACATGATTGTTACATGTTTTTAACTGTGAAAGACAAAACAAACCAGTGACCTTCTTGATGTAAGGCAAAGCATTTACCACTTCTGCCACCATGTGACCCTGTCTACACAATACTACGTCACAGGTGGGGCTCTGTCTACCCAGCACAGCAAGTCTAGTGTATACAGACAGACATGCTGCGATGAGCCTTCCAACCAATCAGGAAAGTCTGAGCAGTAGAACCCGCCCCTTTTCGTCACTCACCAAGCAACTGATTGCAGAATTCTTCTATTGAAGTGGAAATGCAAGCTGCCACTGGAAACAAAAACCACATTTACATAAAAAGGGTTCATGATGCTAAGAAGGTTCTGTTAATCCCGTAGTAAAAAGAACCTCAGGGCAGCAGAAGACGATGGCCGAGAACTATTGTTGTCAGGGTCGTAATACAAAAACCTCTTCATTTAGCTGGATCAAGGTGGCCTTATTCAGAGTAAAAGTGAATTTAGAAAATGTACTACATTGCAAGGGACCCCCTTATCAGCATACATCTTTTATTTTATGCATTTTAAATAAAAGTTAAGATCACATGCCATAAAACACCAAGGCTTGATACACAGAGAACCACAGTTTCACGATTGAAAAGCAAAAGAAAAACGGGGCTTATCTTCCCTTTCCCTCCCTTTCTGTTTTGACATTTGCCCACTCAGCTCTGTTTTCAAATAGTGTGGCTTCTTGGACTCTGCACTGCTCTCCCTTCCTCAGCACTACTAGGTATTGTGGGTAAACAGCTAGATTAGCCAATCAATCTTCTGTGTGGAATAGAGGTAGTGGTGATGGCAAGAGGAAAAGAGGAGGGAAGTTGGAGAGAGGGGGGGGGCTGAGCGATAAGGCATTAAGACAAGAGAGAGAGAGAGAGAGAGAGAGAGAGAGAGAGATGAGATGAGAGGGGGCGGATTTGTGTGTCGGGTTAAGGAGAGAAAAAGATATATAGTAAAGCAAGGTGGGAGGAAAAAAAGGGAGACATCGTGTGCAGGGGAGAATGAACATAAAGGAGGAAAGAAAGAGAGGGGGAGGGAGGAAAGATGCAGATGTAGGGGGTGTCGCAGAGAAACCACAAGCTGCTCCAACATGAAAACATGATGTGAACAGGCTGGAGTTGCACAATATGGTAGAGAGAGGCAATGAAAGAGAAGGATAGAAGGAGAGGGAGGGCGAGAGAGAGAGAGAGAGAGAGAGAGGTAGGATTCTGAGAAACATGTAGGCGATGTGTAAAGAAAGGACAATAATTATATTGTAGAGCATCAGTGCAGGTAAAAATGAACAACAGAAAAAGACAACCATTGCGGAGGAGTTGATGTAAACCCTAAGAAAAGGCCTTTTTTTGTGTTAGAGAAAACTGATGTTAGTCCTGACTATTTCTTAAAAGGTTGGTACGGTTATTTTCATATGATGAAAATTAACCAATTTAGTCACTGAAACCTACAAAACACAACAAATGGGAAATAGGACAAAGTCAGACAAAGTCTGAAGTAACTTTTAGAAAGCTTGTTTATTAGTAGAAGGTTTAGGTATAGAGACCCTGTACAATAGGGGCATCTACCAAAGGTCTGGTCTTTGCAAGCAAGGCTAAAACCTCACTGAGATAAACTCCACAGCTGGGCTGATCTTTAGGTTTCTATTGATACATTTCAGTTATTGGTTTCAGTGCTTGGAAACATTTTTTTTGTACAAATGTGGATAGCAGTAATCTCCTAATTTTCAAAAGTTAGCTTTTTATGCTATAGCTTGCATTGTTTTTTGTTTGTTTTTTTAGATTAAGACTCTTACAGTAGTTTGTCTATTACTATGAACAGCTCCTGACCTTCACTTTTTCTGTTCCTTCATGTTGATTAAATGGAAATTTCTAAAAGGATGGTCAAACAATCGCTAAAGGATGATGTGTGCATAGATGGATATATGCATTTGTCTAACGGCTCATGAAACAAAAGTTTCAACAAAAATATGGAAGAGCGACATTATATAAAAGTGAATAAAAACAACTTATTTCTGAACTCAACAAGGCCATCTGCTTGCTTAAAGCAAATAAACACTTAAATAACCAGAACATGACATCGACTAACAAACAAATAACAGCCTAACAACTGTCAAACAAGTGCTGCACTCTGTTTCTAACCTGTGTCAGGACAAAAATCAACCTCAGCAGTAGCCATGAACCGTTCCCTGCGTCTCTGCTCTAACCACAAGAAAAAAACCCAGTGATAATGCCTCTTAAATGCTGGCTTGCAATCTAGCAAACCTCAAAAGACTAAGAAACTCTTTTGAGGTGGGCTGATTTTTTTTTTCTTCCTCCAGCCGATGCTTCTACCCTGCTCGGTCTTTTGAAACCAGCAGAAAAGAGACGAGCCTCTGGGGGGCCGGAGCCGAAATTAAACCCTTTCTGTCTCCTTTTGCTTTATCGCTTTTAAAAGCAGACGACAAGCAAACATGGCACTAACACACATGTACGAACAGACACACACAAACACAGGGTTAACTGGCACGACCGCTGGTACTCAGGGTGTGAGCCCCCCCTCCACCCTTCTTCTTTGGGCTGACTGCCAACGTTGCCCTCTGTCCAAAAATACAAACATACATACACACAGCAGTCACAGACACACACACACATTTGAAACACACACAAATCCCTGGCTTAGCCTCAGCCCAATGCCGGGATTACCGGATTAGAACTCTATTCCATTATCTCCCTACACTATACAGCTCTCGTTCTCTCACACACACACGCGCGCACACACACACACACACAATGACAGTCACAACACATGACTTTTACACACCAGAGGTTACAGTTACAGTTTGGCCTCAAAGTGCAATAACACACTTTTCAAGCAGATGTTATTATTAGGATTCAATCTGCAAATGACATGGGTCCTGATCTCTGACATCAACAATAAATGTTCAAACTCATCTTTGGGAAACACACTGAAACTCTACGCTTTTTTGGGGGGTGAAAAAAGACACATTACATAGCTGACCTCTGACCCTAGAAGGGACTGGAGACAAAAATGCTAAATGTCTCCTTTGAGTGGCCAAGGGTAGTGAATAATCCATCAAGGACACACAACAGCGAACGCTCTCCAATTCTCAATTTCTAAAATATTAAAATCGCACAAGATGAAAATTACAATTTTCTTTCTCATGATTAGTTCCGTCTGTTTCCAGCAGCCACAACCTTTAAAGAATCACTTTTTAGTTTGTGTTTACAACCAACATTTCAGAGCTGGAAGTTCATACTTAAGTGCAAAGTATTTCAAGACGCATACATTATTATCATTTGCCACCTAAAATACTGATTTGTATCAGTTTGTAAACTGCAAACGTTGGCTTAATTTTTTGTGATGCATCATAATCAATATATTTTTACATTGCAATTTATTTTCTTTTTAATGTGGTAGCAATTAAATAAGTGTCATTTCAGACTTTTCCCTGTGCAACAGGAGTATTCCTCATAGAGGTTTTGCTCCTAAGTACCCAACCTCACATTATGGAAAATCAAACCAGTAACCTTCTGAATGGCAGCTGGTAATCGTACCACAGCTTACCATCGTTGCAGCAACTATAACAGTTTGACAATAGATTATTACGTAGCTATAGGTCAAGGTGTTGTGGTCCATGTTTTGTGTAGAACAGCCAATACTAGGGATGGCTCGAGCTGACGTGTTCAAATCACAGGATTGAACATTGAAAGAAAACTACTATAACTTAACTTGGCATGAAATGCTGTAAACAGTCACATGAGCAACGACAGCCCGCGGCCGGCTGCAGGAGAACATAAGGTATCGGATTGATATCAGTATCGGCAGATACGCCAACTCAGTATTGGATATGAAAAAGTTGTATCGAGCCATCCCTGGAAAATACATCACTTCCTGGAGTGTAATGGAAAGTAGTTGTAAATCATGTTATTATTTAACTTAATATGGGAGGGTGAACTTCATTGTGGGAGACAGAAAAGTCTTTAGGCCACTAATTTCACAACTTAGACGCAGCATTTGTCCATGCACCTTTCACGCAGAGACACAGAAGAAGCAAAGCCCGGTTCCTCTGTGGTGTAAACACAGCAGTTAAGAAGAAAACATACAGGGAATCAGCAGTTACTTACATAGTCGTGGAAGGCCTTGGCCTCACTGGAGTGCTCACATGTCTCCCTCCGGTCTGGAGCCGCACAATACAAATCCCAGAACACGCTGTAACAGAATGGGAGAGCAGTGAGAGGAGGTCACAGGTTACTGTATGGAGCAGCACAGGCAAATATGTAACAGCCATTCACACTCTTATAATCTCTACAGTGCTCTTCAACTGCCTTTTACACACTTGAGCACCAATACGAGAGGGACACCATGTCAGTGTCGCCGCCTTTAACAGCTTCTCACTCACTTAGAAAAAACACACACTCACATACGGTTAAGACACACACCCACCCCTTATTTTTTTAACCCCAACACTATAACTGTTAGTGCCAGGGCTGAATCCCTAAATAACCCTCTGTACAAGTGTTGACTGGAGAATGGTCTCATTGAGAAGGAATTTGCTAATTTGATCCATACAAGAACAGGCAACTGCATCTGAGCTGCAGACGTATAGATAAACTGTAACAGTCGCCCAAACCTCACCACCACGTTAACTCCGGCGTGTATTCAATCAATCTGTTTCTATTGATTTTGCGGAAGTGCTACAAACCAACTGAGTCAACTAATGAGTGGACTAATCAGGCGGCCACTTCACAGGCTTCCAGAATCTGTAATGCTGAAATCTTCAGGAATTTTTCCATCTACATCTGAACTTCCTGAGACGACAATTTATTTGGGTGGCGCAAAGAAAACTCAACATTCCAACTCTTGCCTTGAGGTTTTTTCTCGAGACGTTGAAAGTTAAAGTTGCTGTCAGTCATGTGGTCTCTGTGCTACCTTGCTGTCTGGTGATGCTGTTGGGATTCCCCTGACTCCTCCCAATGTAGCCTGCCTATGTTTGAATGGATTTGTTGAGGGAACATTTAGTCATGGAGAAACAGCAATGATCACTCAGGGTGTGTTCACACTTGTGTTTGTTTCTTTTGGTTTGTACCAACTCCAAAATGATACATTTAGTTCGGTTTGCAGGCATAAAGTCCAGGTCTACGTCAGCTCACACTGTGTTTTCTTCACTGATCAAAGGCAAGAAGGACCACCATCTGATTAGTCAGCTGAGAAATTGATGGAACTTACATATTCCAGAACAATTCAGTGAATTTCCTTGGTAAAGACAAGGGTAAGTCTAAAACTTTAAAATAAAAGTCTGTATTTATGAAAACAACAAAGCTTGTGCCCTTGTATATATTCACTAAGTCTAAACACTTCTGTGGGAAGTATTTCCATTATAGAATTTCATTCTCTGTAAATTTCTTTATTTCACACTAGGTCATAACTTTGTCTCATCTAAGGACCAAAAGAGAGTTTCTAAAAAAGAGAATTTATTTCAATTCTGGAGGGAAAATATCCTTTGCAAAGCTTCAATCATTTTACAGGTTACCATTAAAGTGTGATGGTTGCCTTGATTTGGAATTTATTTGTAAGGGGTGAAAAACCTAACTAAACAAAACGTAACGTTAATAAAATTTTTCAATCGTGTCACCCGAGAAATGTGTCCTAAAAACCAGGGACTTCGTGTCTGGTTGCTATACATGATCACGTGAGTTTGTTTTACGACAATCAAACGTAGCAATACTGAACGCGCCCTCCTTTGTCTCCATTGTCAATTTTAAATTGAAAAACTCATATTCACTAGATGTGCTCCTGGTAACTTTTTTGGGAACAGGGTGCAATCTTAAAGCATTGCTGAGCAGAACGACCAAGTAGGTCATTGATATTTTATTTTCTTAATTCAAAATATGGTGATAATAGAAGTCGAGGTAAAGCATCTTGTTTACACCAGCTTACAGCGTGCATTTCTTTGGCTTCTACAATGACCTGGATTTTACATTTTCTGTGTTTCTGAGAATGCAGATAAGTTCTGATATGAACCAGAATTACATGTGTAGAAGATGAGATTTATTTAGGCATTTTAAAATAAAAATCTGGCAGAGAGAATGTCGTTTTGAGAACTTATAGCTTCTTTAGAGCAGAAAAACAAATCACTGAGAGTAGCTTCATCCTTTTTGTTTGACTTAACCTTCCATGAGAAAGTTAGAGTCAAACTAATTTAAAGACAAGCACATGTGATCGAGGTGAACTGAAGGACACTGACACATCTATCTATTATATACTGCTTGAATGTGTAAGATTTACTTTCCCTGCAAAACCAAGAGAATGGGAGAATCAGAGCAGAGACTGTCAAACCTTTTGGGCCAACAAACCCCTTACTGGGGATACGATTTTCCCCAAATCAACTTGTAATAGAAAGTATTTATTGAAAGACAACAATTATACTCTTGTATGCACGTATGAATTACAGTATTAGCACTCTAATTTTGAATGAAATAGCTAGCTAGCTAGCTAGATGGTTGACAGAACTAAGCTTAGCCGAGTGGCAGCTAGAAAAGTTCTTTGGACTGACACTAAAAAGATCTGTCACTTAATGTGTCACATGTCAGTTCAGCCTGTGGCTCAAAGTAATGGCCACCAGTAATGTTTTGCCTTTATAGGGCAAATAGAGGTCCAGGGACCATTCAAATAAAACTAGAATTATATTTTTTTGCAAAGTAGTTAGCCAACAGTCACAAAACATGTCAAGGTCTGCATCCTTACCAATACCATTAAACTTGTTCTGTAGATTGACCCAGCCTTTTAATATTCCATTACTACAGGTTTTATTATTATTGTTATTATTTTTATTATTACATGTGTCCTTGGTCTGGTATTGCTGATGGGGCTCTAAAAACCTGATATCAACAGAGCAACCACCTGAGGTGAAAGTTTCAGAGTATTTGTAAAACATTCAAGAGTTTATTTACACTGCTGGGATTTACATTTAGTGGCAGTTAATACATGGTTACAATAATGGTTGAGGGCCGTCATTTTAAAATCTCTAGAAAACCAGCTACAGCAGTAATTGTGGTAATTGTGCATAGATCGTCCTCAAGCATTTAACAGTGACTCGTGGGAATGAGGTGTCTTTGGCACCAACCCTGGCTGGTGGGCACTGGTATAAACTGGAGACTAAGACCAATTTAGATATTCCCAAAGAAACCAATAGAAGGGCAGTTATGGTACCAAGAACTACGTATATTAGCCTTTAAACAGTGGACTGTTTATTTGAAGTGTGAGTGACAGAAAGTGCTCTTGAATCAGGTCAGTCTTCAGGGAACATCTAAGTGTTGAGGTGACATCCACCAATAAAGTCAAAATGGTGCCCTGTATTTTAAGGTTGACTCAAGAGGCCAGATTTTAGCCAGGGGCAGGAATGACAGCGGGGGAGGAAGACGGCGGATGGACCGGTGACACAAAGGAAGCTGGAATGCAACGGGTTAATCTGCTAAGAGTCCCTCTCCCATGTGAACAAAGGAGAAAAATGGGAGGTGGTGGAAGACAAAGGGTGACGAGAGGGTGAGGAGGGGGCCAGGGGGTAGGGAAGTTGGGAAGGGAGGGTGTCCTTCATTCCCCAACCATCTGGATCTATTGTTTCAGAAACGGGGGTGACGGATGAAGAGCTGGAGGAGGGGACCGGGTAGAAGACAGTGAGGGAGGGGGTCAAGCCCTCGGTGTGACTGGTCAACCCCAAGGCTGAGGAACTGGGAGACCTTCAACCTAGGGCAGGATTTTTTAACCATAAATAGGAACCATGGACCATCACTCTAATAACATTTTTGTGTTTTAGGAACTGTGAAAATCTAGGGTTGTGAGTAACGTGCATTTTAAAAATGCAATATTAAACTAAATCACAAGTCTATGAAGACCTCATAAAGACAAATTATTGTCCTTTGTATGAAAATGCATTTCCCCGAGTGCTATTACAGTATACAGTATCACTTTACCAGGCGAGACTCCTGTCCTGAGAACATCCATGTGGTTGTGCACCCAAATTTTTCAGAAGTTCTGGATTATCACTGGCCATTAACCATTACCTGTACTATGTACAATATTACAGTATTTGTTTGCTATTGATAACATTATAATAAGTTATTTATTGTGCTTTATTAATACTGTTACATGGGATATAATGTGTATGTTTATTACAGTGATTAATACAACACAGTGTAACATCACGTTATACAGTGATACACCCAAAGTTAGACCATGTTTAACACGAAACGTTTGTATCTTAGGAACTGTCCATATTAAGATTTTAAAAGAAAAAACTCCAACAGAGAGCTGCCAACCAGGGTCTGGGTAACACTTTCCTACATTTAACTGGTAGGAATCAGTGACCGGAATTCCCTTCCAATTAGCTGTATAAAACAAGAACCAAACAAAAAGCATTAGCAGTAAATAACAGCAAAACTTACCACCACCACGAATGGAGGAATCCAGGAGGCTCCCCTAATGTAATATTTTTCTCCCATCGAATCTGTGGTTGAAGAGCAGGAAAGAGAGTCACTTGTAGCTACTAGAGACAGGATTAGTTCTGCAGGTCCAAAGGTTAAGAACATATAATCAGTCTGTCTCTAACTGTCAATAGTCTAGGACGTGAAGATGGCCATCTTTCTGCTATTGTCTCTTGTCATGTTCCTTTTTTACATTTTTTTTAGGAATGCATTAAACAACTCTCTCTCTCTCTTAAAATAATATATGGTTTGTCCGCAGCCAAAGCAGGACGGGCTGGGGGATAAGAAGGTTTGGTAACAACACTGTGACATTTTAGATGAACAGAAGCATCTTCATCAAGCCACACTGGTTAACAGTGAGCAGGAGCTGGTGTAACTTTACAGAGTTTCCTGATGAAAAATTGATGGAACACCTTGCACTCTAATCGTGTTTAGGATGTTTGTACTGATATTGTGTGTCTAAGAGGCCTCAAAGCTAGTTTAGCTACAGCAGTCGAGTCAGAATACATGGAGTATTAGTAATAAAGAAAGAGCCAACAATTTAGTTTCCCTAAATTATTATGATTTTTAGCCAGTGGTGGGAGAAGGTCATTAAGAGACCTTTTCTAGAGTAAATTAAAATCAAATTAGGGTTTGACAGTGAAGAAACAAATGCTTCTGGATGAACACTGATCAACAACAACAACAACATGGTGTTGTTTTGGAAGGATCACAGCTATGGCTCAATGGAACAGCCTTAGCTATTACTACCTGACCATGTTTAATAGTATTAAATTCCAGTGTATAATTGAACCTTTTAACTGTCAAGACAGAATCCCAAATTACACATAACTCTTTCTAACTTCTAACCTTCATTTTGCCTATCAGAAGAAACCTACAATGAAGCCAATTTTCCATCAAGACACAATTCCAGAAGCGGGAATCCAACCGGAGTCTCTTATGGCTCCTAACATTCCTTGTTGGAAACAAGGACTATCGTAGAATAGGCTAATTATCAGGAAATGTCTACAGTGGACGTCTTCTTGTAAGCTGTCTGCTGTACTGGTAATTACGTCTGGAGACCTCTGTGCTTTTCTGCCAACAAGGAGATCTACCATGACCTGAAGATGTCAACATGCAACAATTGTTTACACTAGGATTTTAGCCACGGAACATGCCTATGGGGAACAAGGACAACTCAAACAACCTGGACAAGAATTGCTAGAATTGGGTTAAAAATGTTGATGCCAACAACTTACCTCAGAGAGGAAGGTCTGTGCTGACTTCTGTGCTCCCACATGTAGCAGGTACTCGTACACATATAATGCTAACCTGAAAGAATAAAGTGAGAGTGTTAGCGGACAGGTTTATTTCTTCCAATTCCATTTGTGTAATTACCACAAGCAGATTTCAAATCATACAGTTGACCTAATATTCTCCCAAAATTCTCCAAAGATCACAAAATAAAGAATAATAATAATAATAAAAAAACTTCTCTCAGTTCTCAGACACACCAGTACCATAGATGAATATTCTTAAGCCCAGTTGGTGTTTGCCAGTTGCAGAAAAACTACACAGGATACACTGTATGACATCAGCGCACAAGAATATTTTTAGTGAATAGTCATGGATTTTGAGAGCACACTACCAAACTCGCTAGGTAGGAAGTTAAAAAAAATGCAAATTGTGCAACTAAGATTACAGTTATCACCACAGCCATTCAAGGCCTCAGTATGACAGCAATGCCAAATGTTCTTGCAAGTACAGACACCAGAGCTAGCGTTAGGTGGCGCAGTCACGATACAGACAGGTGGTCCTATGACAGTCTAGCTTTGGACAGTAGCAAACTCAGTCATCAATACACCAACTGAATGTTGCCATGATTGTTGGTATGAAACATGGATAGAAAACACAAGCACAAACTTCATCAATCTCTTCTTTGCCTTTTTAATGTTAAGGAAAATCACCCTAATGATAAGTTTCGGATACAGGGACACAGCTGATGAGATGAAGTCTTTATGCCAGACATGGTCTTTGATATTATGTATGTCATGTATTGACAGAAGCTGCCAAATAATTTTATTTCTCCAACTAATTAAACATAAATCAGCCTTCATGCCAAGAGCAACATTGGTGGCCCATCTAGAAAAAACAAAAATCCCATAAATCCTTTTTTGCGTTTTCATCCTTTATACCAACACAACTTTTGACACCTGTCTGCACCTGTCTGGTCTGGAGCTGCTGTAGGGAGCGTCTGCCAAAAGTCTGCACAGTTGCAAAGAATAACCCCAGTTACACCCTCCAGCACCCCCTCCATGAAATCATGAATTGAGTTCGTCACACACCGTACCACCCACCAACTGTGGGAAACAGTACATGAATACGATAGTAGGAAAGTATAGCTTCTACACATAAGAATCACCTAGCTCTTTATTTGCCTAGGAAGGAATTACATTTTTTCCTGACACCATGAAATTTGTTTTGCAGGCATTTACATTGTAAATACACAATTGCTGCCAATTTTTGATCAAAGTTTGCCTGGAGTAGGTTTTGCAAGGTTTTTTCCTAAATTTGTGGCAACCATATTTTAGTAGCATTATAAGCAATTAGCATTTCTCCTGGCTAACTTGGGTAGCCAAGTTAGCTTTTTTGTTAAATGTTGGTGAATATGAAAATCTTCAAGTCTAGCAAGTTCAATCTTGTTTATCTCAGAGATGAAAAATGTCCATTGTATCTCAACATCATGCCTGTACCTATATTATTCCCAATCTTACCTCTATTACAGTGTTGGTGTCCAAAGTTGTCAGATCACAATAGCTTGAATACAAATGACACGTTGAGAGTGAAATGGCTCTGTACAACCAACATTCTCACCAAGTCTGACAACCTTTAAAAAGCTCTTGCCACCTTTTCCCTTATTTTAAACCACTGCCATTATGACAGGCCAGCCACACTTGAAAACAGCAATCTACCAGGGTCTATTAACAGACACAAGCACCGTGCTGCGGAGAGGGGAAACCCCTGTTGGCCTAACATTGTACCCCTAACTCCTTCACTTAGCCGTGTTTAATAGGCTGTTAATGGACCATCAATCGACCGGCAGCGTGGATATGACAATGCCCCCTGTGCCCAGAGCAGAGAGTCTTCTGACAGGCCAATAAGGTCCTAATGAGGAGGACAGTGGCTCAGTGTCCCCATCATTAATCAATTTACTGATCAATTAAGCATGGCTTTGAGATAATCAAGCTGTTGTGCAATTTGTTTTTAATCACAGACAGTTCTTTGTGCCTGGCATTGTTGTCAAGTTATGCACTGATGATATTATCTCTACAAACGCATTAAGTGCATTTAAGCCTTCAAGATTATGTGTATACAAGAAATGGACACTGCCACGTGGTTGCCAAACAAAGTCTAGCTTTGAAGCTTTAACATTTAAAAATTGAAGTGTTTAGAATCAACGTTTTTTTTGGACTGTACACATGCCAGTCACAAAACATCGCCTTGCGAGGACCATGACAAGCTATGACTTATTGGCTATTTTGCCCTAACTTAGCCCACTAAATCTTCAACGTAGCCACAAAAAGTGATAACTACTATAACGTTTGATTTAATTCAACTCCTCCTATGTTCATTTTCTCAACTGACAGAGGTTTTGGAGGGTCACTTTTGCATGGGCTCCATGCACTTGCATTCTGACTTAGGAACAAACACAGTAAATTGTTCCTATCAGTAAAAGAAAAGCGTTCCACTAATTCGTTCGCAAAAATGCCTCTTGGCTGGAAATTAGGGTTTAGCTGAATTAAACTATACCACAAAACACAACCTTAGTCAACAAACTCCCTTATGTGTTGAATTAAATTGCTCAATTCTTAACAGACAGAACAACACGACCGAAAACATTTGGGTTGCTCCCATTGTCAGTAGGTTGCCACAGAGGATAAACACAATGTACTGTTGAAACAGTTATTTTTCCTGACACAACACTTCCCATGTGTATTACCTTGGGACCATTTCTAGAGGACAAAAATGGTGGGCTTTATGGGTTGGTAGGAGTAGCCACTTGGTTTCAAGTGTTTTGCTCATGGACAATGTGGCTGAGGTGTGGTTTAAATATCCTACCTTCATTCCAAAAGACAACTTGTTATGATCACTGATTCATAGCAACCCCCTCATAACTGATGGTTAAAGGCTGATCAATGAGATACCTCGGTTAGGTTAACTGATAATGTTCACACACACAAGTACAAAATCCTCTCAGTAGCCAGTATACACATTCATAAAAAGACTGAGACAAAATCATTGTTAAATTGAGGAACATTCCAGCACTGTTTACTTTTCTGCCGCAGTAAAGGCTAATTTACACTTTCATTAAGTTGTGATTTGCTCCTAAATGGTTGAACACAGTATGAAGATGAGGTGAGCACATGATAGTGAAGAGAAGCTTAAACAGCTGCTAGAAATATGACCTGACCTGCTCAGGCTACTAATGATATGCAAATGTGTAAAATGATGACACAGTGACGGTATGCAAATTTACACTGTAAAAATATATAAACAGGCAAATAATCCATATCTGTGGTGTGTAGGTGGCGGCTTCTACATGGCAACTGCCGTCATTTTTGTGGTAAACAAGATCATGGACATTACACTGGACAACTGGAGGAAAATGCTTCTTAATCTTATCTAATCTTGTTTTACGTAGTGTTGAGAAAAACAGAGAAATAAATCCACCATAGGTTTACTGGAATTCAATACATATATACAAATGAACTTAATGCATAAAAAGACAAAAAAATTTTAGCATTTAGATGCATTCCAGTCAAGCTATAGTTCTAGCTGCACTCGACTACTGTCTTCACTGCAGTTTTAAAGAACTTCATGCACACAGGACAAATCCATAGAGAAAAACCATCAGCTACTGCCGGGGCTCAACCTCCTGATCTTCTTGCTGTAAGGCAGGAGCACTAACCCCCTTCTGGCATCAACATTACCTGCCAAATCAAAGTTATCCTTCATAGGTGTGTATTGCTCCTGTGTACTATAACAAACATTGACCTCAGCATTACATTTGTGTACAATATTGACCACAGATGGACGTCTCACGAGTCTTGTTCTGTGAATAAGTCAATTGTGAGTTGGATTTTAATTAATTTGGCAGGCCGTTCTGACCATAAAGCATGTACGAGGGCGTGACCTCTCTGACAGATAGCTGCTGAGATTAGAAAACACCTAAGCAAGCAAACATCCTTACAACAAGCAAACACACATTGCCTCACATTTCAGGACATTTTGTGACATATACAATTAAAAAAAATACACCACTATAGGTTCATAGCATCATGTACATATACATACAGATACAGACTGATATCCCTGCAGTGATAATTCTTTTTTTTACTGGAATTTAAGTTAAGTGAACTATGTATTCACGAGGGAATGAGTGATGTTTGACCTGAAGGTGCACAGGGTCGGTTCATCTACAGTTTTGTTGTATTAAGTCACAAAGTAACACATTTGGATCCAGTGGTGGAAGCAGCAGTGAACTAACAGCTCTTGTACTCGGATGAAAAGTTGCTGATTTTCTCAAAGGACTTTGCTGCAGAGAGTAGTTTTAAGGGCAACACAAATGTTAGATGTAAACACAAAATGGTTGTCTTGTGTGAACTCTTATTTAGGTTAATTTAATAATGCCAATAACTGGCATTTAGTTGTATTTTAAATATTATTCAACAATTTGTTGACTAACTGTACAATTAGTTGTCAAAAACAATGTAGACTTGACTTTTACGACTAAAAATATGCCATTAAACTGAATGGTTTGGTTTATTGACAAAAATAGATGTTGTAAATTGTAGGTTTTGGGCAAATACGGATGTACATTAACACTTTACTTAACACAGAATTTACATACCTGCAGGTTTAAAAGACACGTATGGTGAACTGTTTTTACAACAGAAACGTAGGTGGACATTTTCACTTCACGTTTGGGTAAATTTACACAGGCATTTGAACCCCCACCATGAGAATTTGTATTGTTAATTCAGATGTTTCATACTTATTTGCATTCTTCTTTTTGACTATTGAGTCAACCGTGGCTACAATTTAAAATTTCCTGGCATCAGTGTTTGCTCTTGGAACTAATGCATTACAGCACATCGCAGGCCTTTTATTTGCTGCCACATATTCTAGAATTCCTTGCAGAAAACACATGGAGTCTGAAATGGCAGATGATACCGGATGTCATATTTGTATAATCTGTAGACTAGACAATCCCATTTCACAAAGCTGTGACTTCCAGCCAGCTCCCGCCAAGTCAGTCTACTCCTATAGACAGCTTAGCCTGAATTGGGACGCGGCTAACATGTCAATCCCTCTTGCAACCACACTTAAAGAACCTGAACTATCCCTTTAAACGGCTAAAGAGTGCACTTCTGTTAGGTCACACTACCACTCTTCAGCCAAAGGGAATCTGACCACATTGTGAGGCTCCTACCAATTTGTAGGTCACAAAGCTCTCCGTGACCGCTGGTGTAGGGTTTAAGTCACCGCCACATGCAGGTCAGTCTCACGTCGGACCACCCACATACCTGCACTTTCCAGGTGACCAATGACACCAGCGGCTCACTTTCAACAATCTGTCGTCTTTAAGTTGGTTTAGAAATGCATCCTTTACACTCACAGGAAGCTCTGGGGACAAAGCTAACTTCTTCAAATAGTGACGCATCTTTTTGTACAACTGTCTGAGTTTTGTACATTTGTCCTGTTTGGGGATGTGTGCATCACACCAACCACAGACACCCCCCCCCCCCCGAACCGTCCAGAGGCCTTCAATGAAATTTTTATGTGTGCCGTGTCTGTGTGTGTGTGTATATATTGGTGTTTTCGTGTGTGTTGCAAAGGGGCTGTGTGTGCGTGCACCTGGCCTACTGCATTATTAAATCTGAGAGGCCAGCACACAGACAAGCAGAAGTTTAAGGAGGAGGAGAAGAAAGGGAGTAAGCTACATCATGGGACAGTGGAGAAAAATGAATTTTGACTTGAACATAAAAGGAAGCAAAAGTGATTTTTGTAGAGGAAGAAACAGTAGGAGGTTTGGGGGATCAGAGGGGCCGTCAAGTCATGATGAAAGAGGAAGGAAAGCCGAATTGTGTTGGCTAATTCTTGTGTAAAATACTCCAAAGTATGGTGCGAGCAACACGAACAATTGAATTTACAGCTCCATGACCTCACAGCTGGAAGATCTTTCCTGATTTGTGCCCTTTCCCAACCTTCACCGCACCACCTGAGCTGACTTCTTGACCCCTTTTCCTGCCATTTCACTGACTTCACCAAACGGGACATTACTGTGTTCATACGCCTAATCCCATTCAGTGAGAAATCTCCCCGATGCGCACCAGTGGCACACCTGACATCCTGCCTGAGGCTCCCGACAAAACCCCTTCTTTAAACATGGATGAGCCTGCCTGCCCACCACATCTCGCTTTCTCCTGTGTGTTTCTTCCTCTTCTGTCTCTCTCTCTTAAATCTGACGCAAAGCTGAGAGCAGATGCTTCAGTCGTTCTCAATAATTCAACACTGGAGCGAGGGATGGGGACTTTGAAGGAGAGGAGAGGAAAGGGGAAGGATGGGAAGTGAGAGTCAAGAGGCAGATGAAGACAAACAGAGGAAGGAATAAAGATGATGGGCTACACAACAGAGCAATGGGAGCGTAATCCTCAGGGGGAGCTAATGGTAGTCCTTCTGATCTTTACGTAAACACAACAGTTTTGTGACTATGTCCCACCTGAGCTGCCCTAAAGTCAGCTGACCTGTCCAGGATAATTGAGGTTCATTTCATTCCTGGAAGGTAAAAACTTGACAACAAGACTTGTCTTGAAGTTGTCCACCTCTTATTTTAGGTCCAGGAAAGAGAAAGTTTTCAAGCAACCTGAACTTTTAAACATCTACGGGCTGTTGAAAAAAAACGTATAATTTTGGGAGCAAAAAAGAAACCTGAACTTTAAAACATCTACGGGCTGTTGAAAAAAAAAAACGTATAATTTTGGGAGCAAAACCAACAAAAGAATGCCTGATAATGATGGTAACAACACAACTGTTGAATTAAATGAAATGTAGTAGAAAACTAACAAAAGGATGCCTGTGGACGTTGACATTGACACAACTGAACTTTTTCCCCTTCAGAACAAATGGAGCCTTGTGGGTAAGAAATCCTCAAAAATATTTTGGAGGAAGAATGTCCATTTTACTTTGGAACTTTAAAAATAAAAGAAACTTGTCAGGTGAATGCTGACTAAGCAATCAGAAGAGTGAACAGCCTCAAGCTGGAATAATTTAGGTCCTTATTCAGAAATAAGCATCTTGACTTAAATATTTTTCTTACTTCTGATTCAAGAGACATCTTTGGAACTGGAAAAAAACCCTCTTTGATAAGACACTACAAGTCTTCTAGAAACTCAATCAAGTCTACTTTTCCACATCTAATATTTTAGGGATAAGGAATAACTCAAGCTTCTTTGTTGAACAAAGCCTGGACCTGTGTGAGAAGGCTCCTGAACCACTGGTCAAAGAGCATGAATGAGGTTGTCCATTTAACCTTACTCCATGACTCATAACTCTAGTACCTCAGCATTACTTGCTTTTTCATGATTCTGTGGTTTTGCTTTTGCTTCTCATATGATCACATTACCTCTGCCAAAAAGGTAATGTTCCAGCATGTCACTGTCTGGCTGTCTGCGACCAGGGCAGCTCAAAAAGTTAAGCAGGCACTTTGAAACAAAATGTGAAATATTCCAGCACTGTGGGGGGGGACGAGACATGGACGCTGACCAGACTCTGGTGATGATCTGGACAGAAGCTGACGAGCATGGACACTCCTGGAAATTGCCTAGCGGTGTCAGGACCTTTGCTAAATTTGCAGTGTTTTTTTTTTGTTGCGTTTGCCTTTAGGGTTCTTTACATTTGCATATGTTGTGGTTTTTGACATAACCAATAGTGTGCACATTTCTGCGAAGGTTCTCAGTAATCCAGACAATTTCTATCTGTAGAAGTTTAAAAGCGTGCACAGTAATAGAAGTGAAGAAGCATCTTGGATTAGGGGAAAACATCTACAAGAAACTCACCCAAATGGTCAAGGCATATTTCAAAAACTTTTTTGTTTAACTGTTTTATTTTCACCATTTAAATTTTAAGAAATGCATGAGGCATTGAATTACCCGATCAAATCATGTATTGGAGTCATCGTAAATTTGTAACCAATATTCAAAATCTGCCTCAATATTTTTCTAGACAGTCTGAACATGTTTGAGCAGGCCATTTTGCACCTTCTTGAGGTAGATCTCCAGAAACAGGTTTCTGAGCTCTTTAGCTGTTCTTCAAATGTTGGTTTGCTTTTTGAACTCCTCTCTGGTCGGAGGATCACAAACAGACTGGAAGACATCGAGGTGCAGGCTCTGCTCCTCTTTACTCACTCATTGACTTAGACTCCATCGAGGTGCAGGCTCTGCTTCTCTTTACTCACTCATTGACTTAGACTCTGTACGCAGAGCTTACATTTGTCAATTTGAAGCCAGTTTGATCCTTTTAAAACTTAAAAACAGGGTTGTCTATAGAGCTAGAACTCTGGAGCAATTACGTCCAACAAAGTTTCACGAATGCATGTACAGGTCACAGGCGTCTTTGTTAACACTTTTCCTGCATAAACTGTGGCTACTGTCGATTTTTTTTCTTTTTAAATTGATGCGTGAACTGCGGTGGGAATTGTGGGTTTGATCCACCTGAAAAGTCTGCAGTTTGTTTGTTTTTTTTTTCAAGTATATTTAACAGACGGTGCGACATGCAGCTCCCGGAGGCGAACAACAGGCACCGAGACAGAGGCATGCAGCCAGACAAAGGGATTGGATGGCTACAGCGCTCCAAGCTAACACCGCCACACAAGTTTTCTGACCAGACAAGCACCCAACATTCGCCCCCTTTTGGTAGTTTCATTAGGTCCACGTTATCTGAAGTTATAAGGGTGTGCTGTGACCACAACTGCGCGAAATAATATTTACTGGAGCCCTTAAAGTTGCGCGGAGGCACAGCGGGGATGGTGCCAGAGGTTGTCCGGCTCAGCGTTACGCACGCACGGGTACAATGCAGAGCCAGTCAGCCGTGCTATCCAGTGCGTTCGCGCGGCGTTCCTGTGCAATTTTGGTAACAAAGCCCCGGCAAACAGCTGTAATCTATTTTTACTAGCTGCTGCTGCTGCTGCTTCACAAAAGCCAAAGCAGCCTTGGCTCACAATGCAACAACAGCAGCAGCGTCATTCCAAACGCATTGTTCCCAACGCTGGGGCAGAGGAGATACACAGAGGGAGAGAGCGGGATCTCCACCAGTGCTCCCTCTTCTCTACATGCACCGAAACACGTGTTGGAGAAAAAGTGGAAAGAAGCGAGGAGAAACCAAAGCTGACACTCTTGATTTTACGCACTACAGAGAACCAGAGTGAAAGTGGTAACTGTGGCTAAGCTGCTAAGTTAGCAGCCAAAGTAGTTCCACGGGAGGAACAATGAGCACAAAAGTGAGCAAAACATGAAATAAAAGTAGTTACGCTCACAGGGAAAATGCACTATTAAGACACAAACTTCCACTTGCACCCAGCTGGGACTGTTTCACACCAGTTAGCAACTTTAGCCGCCAGCTTGCACTCTTCTTGTGTTTTGACTCTGATAATAATAACAACAATAGTAAAATAAATAACAGTTGCACTTACTTTTCTCTGGCTTGGCTGTCGGAAGGCACCACAGCTCCTTTCCCTTTGCCGTACATCTTGGAAGGTGTCGTGATACTTTTAGTCACCTGTCAAAGAAAGCTATCAGGAAAAGCTACTATCTCCATAGCTACCCACTTAGTGTTGTCTTCCTCTCTCTCTCCCCTGCCTTTCTCTCTCTTTGCTCCGGTTTCTTTTTTTTTTACATCCCCAACATTGCCCACAAATCAGGCAGGCTTTCAGTCTGGGGGGAACTTGAAACTGTCCACTGGTGGAGCTTTTTTTTTTTCAATCGCTGTTCCTGGATTCTGCTCACGCCCCCCCTGTTCTCAGACGGTGGGGGTTTCTTAAAGAGACAGCGTCTCACTTTTTCCCTTCACTTCGCTCCAAGTTCAAGTTTGTCTTCACACAGGCCTTTAAAGTTAGGCCTTGCATTTAGCTTAAGTTCTTAACCTTATGTTTTATTTTCAAAATGAATCCTTGCCATTGTTGTAACATCCTATCTGGGCAAAACATAATCTGTCTGTGTCTTTAAGGCTCACTGTTGTATTTTTAGACCGTATGCATCATGACTGCCGACTGTTTGTATGAGAGTTCCTACTAGTGTACAGTACTGCGGTGTTGGTGACCAATGGTAACCTTGTTTGAACATGTAATATGCAAAAAAATATCTTAAAATAGACTTGTTTATTAAAAACAAACTAAAACTCTGCTCAAATGTAAACAAGGCTGAGTTTATCAGCAGCAGCACCGCCCCCGTTTGAATTTTTCATGTTCCTTTTCACTTGTTGTAATGCTTTGTTGGCAGAAGGAAAAATTGAACTCAAAATTAGCAGAGCTGCTGTTAAAATTCAATGAAAACGTGAAGTGCAGGATTAGCTTTGATGAACTAAACCCACATGAAAATATCTATTAAAAATCTGAATTATATTTGTAGATAATTTAAGGCAAGGATGTGTGTGTAAAAAAGGCTTAAGATTATTTCTACATATGATTAAAAGAGATTGGTAACTTAAGTGTTTTGGTACATGATTGCTGGTGGTGCATGACTTAACACAACAATGGGTTTTGTGCTATTCTTAGGCAATGTAATAGAAATAACAACTCAGTCATTGGTAATCAAAAGTGTAGCCGCAGAAATAAAACAAAAATGGTCGCTCATATGCAATGTACAATGGCTTCAAAGAAACTCCAAGTCAATGGGAAATTAGAAAAACTTCATCACAGACGCTAAAGTTTATATTTGTAATCATTATTTCAAGATTGTGTTATGTAGATCGAGATTTATCTGTGTAGATCTATCTATCTAGCTATCTAGCTAGACACTAGTGTCACCATTGCTAACAACTAAATTAGCATTCAAGCAATCAACCCAATAATCTTCTTGTTGTAAGGCATGTGCACCAACCACTCTACCAATTGCTAACAACTAAAATAGCATTCAAGCAATCAACCCAATAATCTTCTTGTTGTAAGGCATGTGCACCAACCACTCTACCACCACATGTCTGAAATGGTTTAACATGGCATATTTGATCAAATTAACCATAAAAACCATCTATTTTAATCATTTTCAATAATTTTATCTAATTTTGACCAAAAAACTTTCACTGTCAGTAACACATGTCGTTTAGATTATTAACTTACTTACAGTAACATATTTTCATGCCGTAGTTACGAGTATTTCGGAGTTTCACAGTAAAGTTGGAGTCAGTCCTCCGGTGACTGTCTACTTCTGAATTTGTTCTAAGCCCAAAAAATGTCTGTTGTAGAAGTTTCTGGAAACCACAGAGAAAGTTTTAGGATATCTGCCAGGCAGTTACACACTGAACAATATTGAAAACAACATTTTTCTATCCTCACTGCCTTTGAAATGTTTGGTAAAGGTATGTCAAGTCAAGATTTAGACTTTTCGACGTGACTGATGGTTGGTATAGAACAACATAAACTGCCTTCAATTGGTCCGGGTATACAGTACTTTTACACATACTCCCTTGACCCCGAGGCAACAAGTACATGAAAAGTGAAGCATACAAACAGAAGACATGAAGGGATCGGACAAACTCAACAGTATTATTGGTTCATTTCTACAATAATTAAATAATAATTTCCCATTATGAATGAAATGAAATCTTAATGATGAAGTCAAGTCACTGTGATGTGTTCAATACCCAGGATTACTGCCGCTGGCCGGATATGTAACGAGCGTGTACGTCTGTGTAATGTCCCTTTAAGAGTGTGTAGAGGCCAGTTGCAGGTTTGTGTGTATGTGCGTGTGTGTTAATGTGTGTGTGTTTGTGTGTTAGGCAGGGACAGGCAGTGTGTTCTCTTTTCGTGCTACTTGCAGTGGGAAGGGCACAGCTGACTGTTTCTGTGTGTGTGTGTGTGAGAGTGAGAGAGAGAGAGTGAGAGAGAGAGCCTGTGTGTGCATATTTGTGTGTTTGTGAGAGAAAAGGAGAAGGTAGTACAGAAAATACATGCCTGCACGTATACCGCAAAACTACAGAGGAATACAAGCGTCTCACAATGAAGACATTTTATGAAAAAAAAAAAAAAGAGAGAAGAACCCTCAGAACACTAAGCAGACATGACAGCAGACGGATCGACTCACCGATGACTGAGAATATTGTATATTTATAAATATATATATATAGGCTGTAGCAGCACAAATATTGCTATTTATACACCGCGTTACATGATGATTATATTTCTAAATATTTGTATTTCATTTAAAAAGTCCACGGCATTTTAGTCATGGTTAAACATGTCAGAGTCGTTATGCTAACATTAGCCTTATGTTAACTAAAGCTAATGTTTGGTTTTCTATTTCTTTGAAGAAATGTCTTCATTGTTTGGCTTAATCTTTGCTAACAACATTTAGCTATGCTAATACTGTTTTATTACAGTAAGATGTAGTTATTTTGAATAGTTGTTTTTAGATTTATATGATACCCACATTTAGTTTTATTTTAGCTAATGTTTATCTATTTTTACTGACTTTTCTGAGTTTTACCTTTAGGCCAAAATAATTTCTATGTGTTATTGCTACCTCTTAGCTAGCACCCAAAATGTTTTGAGCCAGAGCATATACATTACAAAAGAAAAATCCCAAAAGAGGACCATCAAATATATATGTCCCTAAAAATATATTGAATGAATTATAATAATCTTCTAGTTTCTATTTAGTGACAATATACTAACCCTATTTAGTTGAACACAAATTGATATACTGGTAGGAATTGGAGAAAGACACACTGGATCTTCTTAAACCATCTAATGGGATATTGTTCTGTTTATGACTGTTAATAAATAAATAACCAATTAGGTGATATTGAATATTTTTCCCTGAACACCCGATGATTTCTCATGGTACATCAATGTGCCATGGCCCAGAGGTTGGGAATCACTGACATAAATAATCTGTATTTGTCACATTACCACTGAAATACCAGGTTACCTGCAGACTACATCTCAGGTTACGTCCTTATCTAAAGACTTAAAACAGACTTTATCGTTCAAATAAGATGGGAACTCTGTCTGAATGATCACAGCCATAGTGGAGCCATTACAAACATAATTAAAAATGCAGCTTTAAGGGCAAACCCGACGTTATCACAACATGAGTGAGAATAGCAGTCATTAGAGTATCTTGTATCTCATACGTAGGTTCCAACTGTCTCCATGATCACATGTTCTTCCAGCCGTAGCCAGAACATGACTTGATTTATTGTTTGTATCTGCTATCCACCCTAAAAGAAAATGCAGCCCTTCTCACTTTCACTTTCTGTTTCTTTAAATCCATGGCATTTTTAGGTTTGTGCCACATGTACACCGTCTTAAATCAAACATATCTCATCAGGGCACAGTTCAAACACTGAAAAACCAGGTTTTTACAGAATCCCAGGATCACTGTGAGGAAAGGATGGTGAAGAGGACAAAGTGTTGGTGCAGCCATCCTTTAAGCTGTAGACCACAAACTCTATCACTGTCTCATCATAGCACCAGTATTGATCCAAGAACCCAATGATCCCGGGAAAACTGGCTCTTCCTTCTTTGCACAGAGTAAATGCAAACACTGCCGTTGTGTACTTTTACTCACACTGTGTTTCCTGGGTTTTATCAAATGCAGACGATAGGATGAGCCAGTTGGTGTTTTTCCTGTTCTACACCACCAACCGACAAACAGCACCATTTAGTAGGAAGTCAAATCAAAACGAGACATTAAAACCTAAAACTGAAGTCTGTACTGTGTTGTAAACTGCTCACTCTGATGCACCAAACTCCATAGAGAAAATCATTGATTTCAGAACGCAGCACACAGGAGCTGGTGAACCGCCGCTGTATTTATCAGTGAATTAAAATCTGTTTATATGTGACCTCAGTGTTTCAAATCCCATGTGTGTATTAATACAATTCACACAACCACACCAAATAAGGCAGCAGTTCACCAAAAGCGCATTCTTCACGGTGAGCTAAAAACAGTGGTTTTCTCTATGGACTCTGGTAGAGGAGTGTTACGACGTCTGCAAACTCAAGTTTCTCGTTAGAAAAGGGAACGCAACGTACGGTTTTGTACATTTACGGAATTCTTTGTCGTTTTGTAAAATGGCTGACATTATTTTTCCTTGGTAGAAATGACTCCTTAATGGGCCGTACAACCCATTTCACTTGGCCCACATCGTAGACCTGTTATCCCTACATGGTATTAATGTGGGCCACCAGCAGCAGCCTTTACTACCAACATTGGGCCAGTTGGTTTAGCCTGGATTAAAACGATGAGAGGGCCATCTTTAGCGCCAACATTCTAGACATTATATTCTATATTCACTCCATATTCACAGAGGATCACTGAAGGATATGAGTGGGCGATATGTCCATGTAAGTATGAAAAACGCATGACACAAAACTACTGTGGGATTGAAAAGAAAAATGAACCACAAGTCTTTGAAAAGACTAACTTTTCTGGCCTTGAAAACCCCAGCAGCTCCTCACAGCACAGGGACAAGCCAACCTCACACTCTCACGTTCATAAAACAGATGAACTAAGACTCGACAGTTTCAGCTTCATGGATGTTCTACATGTTTACGGAACTGAGGTGTCCAGCTCTGCCCAAGGATCCACTGGGACTCACACTCCTGACCTTCTCGTTAGTGGTGGACCGGCTTTACTTCTGATGCACAGCCATCAGTCATATACAGTATACCAGAGAGGTGACATTGTAAATCCAATCACAGCTGTGCTGAGTTCTCTCCAGGCAGCCTCCGTCACCTCGCTGCCCTCGACCAAAGCTGTATATCACAAATGTGTTTGCAGTGATGGAAGTGTCAAGCTGTTTGATACTGTACAGTTATCCTCAACTTTACTTTACTGTGGCTCCACACTCTACTCGTACTGTACCCAGCCCTGACCTGCACATCCGCAGCTACGGTCTACAGCAGGTTTGGGCAAAGTATTTGACCCGCGGGCCACAACTGGTCCTAGTATTAG